TGGTGTTGGTGGGGGGGGGGGGGTGGGGGTCCATGCTTCCTTCTTAGAAAAGGGATTTAGACCCAATAGCCTCATGTAACATCACTCTTATATTCAGTCTATTAGAGTCAAAAGATTAGCAATGATGCTGTGTGTTTCGCTAACTTTTTACAATCTCTTTCCAGTGCAGTGATAAGCTTGGCCTTAGTCTTGAGCTGGGTTCATTTATGGCTGGTGTTATGATTTCCACAACGGACTTTGCTCAACATACTTTGGACCAGGTATCATTCATGACTGATAACTTCTAACTTCTGTCTTATTTTGCATAGGTAAAGTACTTTCCTTAATAGTTTTCTATACTGTCTTCACATCGTCACACATTTATCTTTGGATCACTTGGGGTGCACTACAGTGTACATCTAGTTCAATATTTGTCATGCTATTTATGAGATATTGTTTTATTATCTTTATCTTTTTGCAAATAACCTTGTGTTACTCTGATTGGCTTACTCTGCGTGTTGTCCAAACTTTGGAAGATAGGAATTGCTCATGCTTTACTTATGTTTTGGGATTTTCTTTTCTCCCAAACTTCTTGGGATTCAGCTTCTCTTTTGGATTCTCTTGTATTCAGCTCATGTTTGCTTTAAGGGAGTTGCTATCTTCAAAATGCAGACAGATTAGGCAGATTTATTGCTTTTGTACTTTCTTTTTTTCCCCTTTGCGTGTATAGATTTTCTTGTTTTGAGATTCTTTATCATCCTCCTAGTTGTAATTCCTCCCATTTCTCTCTATTGATTTTCCTTTTCCTATGAAAAGACATTCAAATGATGCGTTTAGGATAATTTAGTAATTTACTGCTTTTGAATTATGAACTATAAACTGTTTCAGTGGTCACAAGAAAAAGTTATCTTAAAAGGACATGTTTGTTGTAGGTGGAACCAATTCGTAATCTATTTGCAGCTCTCTTTCTCTCAAGTATTGGAATGCTTATACATGTGCACTTCCTTTGGAACCATGTGGATATCTTGCTGGCATCTGTTATTCTGGTTGTAGTTGTTAAAACTGCTGTTGCTGTTATAGTTACGAAGGCCTTTGGTTATAGCCTTAAGACAGCATTTATTGTAAGTTAATGCAATCAATTTGCTTGATATATTGCTTAACTATAATACTCTATTATGTTGAACACTGATTGTCTGTTTCCATGACAACTTAGGTTGGTATCTCACTTGCTCAAATTGGAGAATTTGCTTTTGTCCTCCTGAGTCGAGCTTCAAATCTTCACCTTGTTGAGGTTTTTTCTCTCTCCCTTGTGGCATTGTTTGACATTAATGTCTGAAGAGTTTCCTGCTGCGCCAATTTTGTAATTTCCTTTGGTTTTTGTATGGCCATCTGCTGTTTAAAGTTGAACCAAATAGCTCTTAGTAAGTGATTTTTGCATGCATGGTATCGTATCTAGAAAAAAACATTTACTTTAATATGGTTTGCCAATATATAAAGATGGATGGGCTTGGCAATCTGATATGACAATAATTAAGAATGTTTGGAATTCAATTTAAAAAGCCTCACACTTTGGAAATGAACGTCCTACATGAGAACCATAGAAGTGGCATGTCCCATAGAACTATAATACCTCAAGGTTGGGTCAAGTTAAGATGTGGGGTTAACCATTAATCCATAAACATGGTTCCTTGTTAAGAACATGAAAGGAGTTCCCCCTGGTGTTATGGGCTGTCCTGACAAGCAAGTTTATTGGTCCATGGAGACATTTGGCAACTTTTGGTGCATGATCCAATATTTTTCTTGAACTTGAGATTAAGAAATTTGAGTAAAAAGCTTGACTGTGTTGACACACAGCACAAATTGTAGCTTGTGTATATATATATATCAACGATCCAGCAGTTAAATAAAAAGTTTTTATTGAATATATTAAGCCTATTAAATGGTGGAAATGAGTTGATCCTTTTACCTGCAAAGACCCTCCAAAGAAATGGAAAGATCACTATATTTCTGGTGCTTTACATAAATTGTTTAATCCTTTAACAAAAATATTTTCTTATGGGTCCGAATATATAAGTGAAAGCTACTCAATAGCTTTCATTATTGGTTGCACTGAAAATTCCTTGCCTTTTTCCATTCTTTAGTGATTTATGTAATTTCCCCTGTTCTGTCTTTATCTATCTCTTGCTGACTATTGATTGCAACTTATTTTAGGGGAAAATGTATCTTCTTCTTCTAGGGACAACGGCTCTCAGTCTGGTAATTTCATTAATTCATTTTCATCTAACTGCTCCATACTTTCCTTCCTTTGAATTATTTAACCTTATCATTGATTAAATACAGGTTACGACCCCACTTTTGTTTAAATTGATACCTGCTGTCATGAATCTGGGTATTCTCATGCACTGGTTCCCCGCTGAAAGTAGCCCGCAAAATGAGGTGTCTCTCTTTGTTTCTCCCTTTTGTATACCCTTTTTTATGATCAGAGAACTGCTTGAACTCAAATAACTAGGGTGCTTCCGTTATATATATTAAAAAAAAAAAAAAAAACTATGGTGCTTCGGAAACCTTACTTAGAAATGTGGTACAACCTTTTGATCTCATTGAATCATCATTCTACCATTCAAAGTAGGCTGCACATTTTTGTAACCGGGGTTATGATTGCAAATCAAATAAAGCTTTTGTGGGGTCAACATTACAAGTTTAATGTGACATTTTATTTTATCAATCACAAATCACATCACTAGCTTGAAAGGGTGGAAATCCCTCACCATCCACTTCATAGTTACTGTAAATTAATTAGGGGATATAATGTTTTACTAGAAATTTCCTGCCATTGTTTCTTCGTGTAATTGCATTTTTTGAGAGGTAAATATTTTCAGTTTTTTTTTTTCCTGAAGGTCAGTTGTTATTCAGTCTCTTTAAGGACTGACATTCTTCATCCCAAGTCCTAACTACTAGCATATTCCAACTATGTTTTTGTTCTCTTCGCACTTTTAAGTAGATGCATTCCATTTCAAGAATTAGGTTACATGGTATTCTCTAATATGACATATTGGCATATTGCATCTAATATGCATTGAGTAATGATACATGCACTGCAAAATTATACAACCACCTACTTCAACATCACTTTTTTTTGTCTAACTTTCTTCATCCTTAATAAATGTAATAAATGAAGTGATGTAGAAAAATAGATACAATTTTTCCTATTAATTTAAGTTTCATTGGGTCCATTTTTACAGCAATATTGGAAAACCAAGGATATCCTTATTCCTCATGGCAACAATCATAGATTGGTATAACAAAGTAACAAACCACATGACCTGTCTTTTTGCTCTTAACAGGGGAAAGCTTTGGTGAATGAAGCAAACAGAATGTTGTGACCAGTGGCAGTGAGTCTTTCAAATTTCCATAGCATCAAATCAAATAGTATATTGGAGGCCATTACCTACCTTTTAGAGACAAGTGAAATCAGGACTTCTTTACCGTGTTCATGCTGCAAGTTTCATGATGAACTTCACGTGAAACAGTCAGCATATTCACTTCCATTGAAAGTTAATGGAAGATCTTGTGTATATAGGCATATGATTTTTTTGTATTCGTTGAGCAATGTATATAGGAAATTGTAGGCCATTCTTATTGCTTACGCTAATCCTATCACATCATACGCTGGTTTGTCTATCATTGCTGCTATAAAGTTGCTAAAGATGAAGTTAGAAAAGAATTCACGGTGTAACTTTTTTGATTCAAGGTTGTTCTGTAACACGTAAGGAGCATGTAATGAAGATCTCGATGAATAATTATGCTTTGTGATTCGTGACCAGTACTATGAATATATGATGCTGAAGTACATCCAAGTGTTGAAATATGTTTTGAAAACTAGAATAGTGATGGTATCAATTCACAGTTTGATAATTATATATTGAATTTTAATGATTAATTAAAATATTTTAATAAATAAATTAAATTTCTAATTTTTTTGTAACATTTAACAGATAATTAACATAGTTATATAAATTCAAACCAATTATAATGAGCTTGTATGTACTGAAGTTATTGGTTAAATTGATATGTAAGAAAATGTGAAATAGTTTTTATATTTTGTAAATGTGATCTGTTTAATAAAAAAATAATAATTTAACAGTTAAGCTGTTAAAATTAAATGTATCCCAGGACGCGAGAGTGGAGTATTCAACGAATAAAATAATAAGAGTATTTTTTGTTAGGACTAAATTATATTTAATATTAAAGTTGCCTGAATTGACATAAATTTGTTTTAGAGTAAAAAAAAAAGTGTGAGAAATGTAAGGGGAGTGAGAATGAGATGTTACTACCATGCTTTATTTTTTTTTGGCAGATAAAAGAAAAAGTAAGAAAGTTTATAGTTTGAGAGTGGGCCACCATTACGGAAGAAGCGGCGGCATACGTGCGGCGCTGACGGCGGGTTACTGGCGAATATGGCGCCGGCAGAATCCCCTCCTGATTCTCATTCATATTAACTCTTATTTCCCATTTCATGCTTTTTATTTTGTAAAATGATGCATCTTCTGAAATTTCTTCCAAAATATTAAAAAATTAATTTAAATAATAAAATATTAAATTAAATAATTATTTTATAATATATTTATTAGAAAATAATAATATTTTAATAATTTGAACGATGAATTCGGAACACGTTCGGCTTCTCTACCAATGCTCTTCTATTTTTCTTCTTGTCCTAAGTCCTAACCACCACACATTCCTTTTGCTTCTCTAAATATGCCCACATCTTATTTCAATTATTATAGTGGATGTTGGACAAATTTGTAACACATTATTTTGTTTCAAATGCCTTGACTGCATTTTAGATTGAATTCTCTTATTTTAACATTTTTTTATTATGCTTTTTTATTACTTATTTTTTCTTTTTCATTTTTATATGTCACTTGTTTTATTTCAATTTTAGTCTCTTTTTCTCTATTGCCGGTAATTGTAAAATGTTGTAGCAGTGTTGTGAAAGTTGAATTACGTTTTACAAGGCATGTTTGAATGGCCCTATGAGTGACCAATATTTGTTTATTTTGTTATAAAATCACAATGTAACATGCAGCAGTCAGAAATTTGCATCTGGATCAGTTAAAACAGTTGACCACGTGTCAAGCATTCTGGAAGGTGCGGAAGACGTTGGCCATAAGTCAAGTAATGAGGGCGAGCAAGTTGTGAGAAGGAGTTCACGTGATCGAAGAACGAGCGTGCATTTGAAGGATTTCGTGGCATAGGAGAGGGGGTTTTTTCTGGTATTGAGTTCTTCCTCTGATTTCTCTCTTTCTGATTCTCTTATTCCCTTCACTCTAAATTCTTCTTTCTTCTTGCTTCAGGTTTGACTGCAGGATTGATCGGTTCGTATGAATTAGTGCTATCTTGATTTTCTTGTAAATTCTTTACATATTGTCCGTAACATTTTGTACAGATTTGTAAACTTTGCAATACAAGAATTGGTTGTTCCATTCATACCAGATTTCTATTGTTACATTGGTGTTTTCATTGTCATCAACGACTGAGAGTACACGATTGAGGGATTTACAAACACAAGTGGCAAATCATGGTGAAGAACTTCGGCGTTTAATGGAGATGATAGAGTTTCGTGATCAAACTCAACGCGAATTAACAAACCAAATGCAGAATGCAACTCAAGAACGTATGGATCAGATGCAGAGAGCTATAGATTTGTTGATTCAAAATCGATCTCAGTCTTTTGGTGGTCAGAACTCCAATAACGATAATGTGTTGGTCACATCTTCGACTTCTAGATTCCATGTCAAAGATATTTCTCTAGGGTTTCCTCACTTTGATGGACATACGCCAGTTCTGGAATGGATTTTTAAAGCTGAGAAGTTTTTCAATTATCATCACACTCCAGATGCGGATAGGGTGGATATAGCTGCAATTCATTTCGAAAAAGAGGTTATACCTTGGTTTCAAATGTTACAAAGATTGAATAGTGTTAATACTTGGCAAGAACTCACTGGGGCATTGGAGTCTCAGTTTGGACCATCTCCATTTGAATGTCCAATGAATGAATTGTTCAAGTTATAGCAAACAGGTACGGTTTCTGATTATTACCTGAAATTCATGGCATTAGCTAACAGATCAGGAGGACTTTCACCTGAAGCACTTTTAAAATGCTTCATTGGTGGTTTGAACAAGGATATTCGGAGAGATGTAGTGGCTCTATGTCCTGGATTTGTGATTCGAGCAGTAGCACTCACTAAGTTGTATGAGGAAAAATATGTTCCAGATAATGGGCATAAAAACACAAGTTACAACCATAGATACTCTACTGTGTATTCTAATACTTCTGGAAATACAAGTAATAGATCAATTGTTAAGAAAAATTTACCTCCATTGCTTCCTACTCCTGCATTGCCTCCTTCAAAAAACAATGTTGTTAAGAAAATAACACCGGCTGAGATGCAGTTGAGAAGAGAAAAAGGTCTTTGTTATTTTTGCGATGACAAGTTTACTTTTAACCACAAGTGCCCTAATAGGCAATATTTGTTGTTGCAAATGGAGGAGGATGTTATTGATGGTAATGATGTGCAAAATGGAGGACAACATGAAGGTATGTCTGAAAATATTGAGGTATTGCAAGTGGATCATCATTTGTCCTTAAATGCCTTAAAAGGGGGGCAGGGAGTTGGTACTATTCATTTTATGGCCAGTATTAATGGATTTCCAGTCAAAGTTCTAGTTGATGGAGGTAGTTCAGATAATTTCTTACAACCCAGGGTGGCTAAATTTTTGGAGTTGCTAGTGGAACCAGCACCTTTGTTCAGAGTTATGGTAGGTAATGGGAATTATATGACAGCGGAGGGAATGATTAGAGACTTGATTGTTTCAACCTAGGGGAGTATTTTCCATCTTCTTGTATTTCTCCTACCTGTGTCAGGGGCAGATTTAATTTTAGGAGCCAGTTGGTTGAAGACCATTGGTCCACATATAGTAGATTATGAGGCCTTACAGTTGAAGTTTTTATATCAAGGACAGTTTACTACCTTACAAGGGGATACTGAAAAATTACCTATACAGGCACATTTGCATCACATAAGGAGAATGGAACATGTCGATTCTATTGCAGAAATTTTTAGCTTACAAGTTGTTGAATCTGATACTAGTCACGAGACTCTGTTAAAATTACCAGAGACAATGGCACCAGAGTTAGCTTTATTGCTACGAATTTATAGTTCTGTTTTTGATACACCTACTTCATTACCACCTACAAGAGCCCATGATCATTCTATTCCTTTGATTGAAGGATCTATGCCTGTAAAAGTTAAGCCTTATAGGTATCCTCATAGTCAAAAGGAGGAGATTGAAAGATTGGTTGAGGATATGTTAACAGAAGGAATCATTCAACCTAGTAAGAGTCCTTTCTCATCACCTATTATTTTAGTCAAAAAGAAAGATGGTTCATGGAGGGTTTGTACGGATTATAGGGCTCTCAATGCAATTACTATCAAGGACACTTTTCCTATACCTACTGTGGATGAGTTAATAGATGAATTGTTTGGTGCTTCTTTCTTCTCTAAATTGGATTTAAGATCCGATTACCATTAGATTTTGTTAAATCCAGAAGACAGATTTAAAACTGCTTTTAGAACACATCACGAACATTATGAATGGCTAGTGATGCCATTTGGATTAACGAATGCCCCTGCTACATTTCAGAGTTTGATGAATGAGGTTTTTAAAGGGCTATTGAGTAGATTTGTGCTGGTGTTCTTTGATGATATTCTGGTATATAGTTGTAATTGGAAGGATCATTTGTATCATTTGGAGATAGTTTTAAGAATTTTGAAACAGCATCAGCTGTATGCAAAATTATCTAAATGTGCTTTTGGAGTGAAGGAAGTGGAGTATTTGGGTCATACATTATCAGGTGATGGAGTTGCTATGGATAATTCCAAATTGGCAGCAGTTAAAAATTGGGTTCAGCCTAAGAACATTAAGCAATCAAGGGGATTCATGGGGCTTACTGGATACTATAGAAGATTTGTCAAGAATTATGCTATGCTTGCTGCTCCTTTGATTGATTTACTAAAAAAGGATGCTTTTAAATGGACTGAGGAGGACACTTTGGCATTTGATAAACTTAAGGAAGCTATGATTTCTGCACCAGTATTGGCACTTCCTAATTTCAAGGAAATATTCATTTTGGAAACGGATGCATCAGGCACTGGGATAGGATCTGTGTTGAGTCAAGGTTTGCATCCTATTGCTTATTTTTCTAAGAAATTATCCTTAAGAATGCAAAAATAATCTGCTTATATTCGAGAATTTTATGCTATTATTGAATCTCTAGCTAAGTTTAGACATTATTTGTTGGGACATAAATTTATAATTAGAACTGATCAAAAAAGTTTAAAGGAACTTCTGGATCAATCTTTACAAACTCCTGAACAACAGCAGTGGTTGCCTAAGTTCTTAGGATATGATTTTACAATCCAATACAAATCGGGCAGAGACAACATACCAGCTGATTCCTTAAGCAGAAGTTTGTGTATGGCATGGTCAGAACCTGTGGGTGTATGGTTAAAACAGGTGGCTGAATTAGTTAAAATAGATCAACAATTGGCTGAACTATATGCACAGTGTTTACAAGGTACCTGCAAAGATGTTTCTTATTCTGTTAAAAATGGGTTAATATTCTAGAAAGGTAGATTGGAAATTCCTAATAATAGAGAGCTTTGAAAGCAAATAATGCTAGAATTTCATGCTTCTAAGATCAGGGGACATGCTGGGGTTACTAAGACAGTGGCAATGATTTTTGCTCAGTTTTGTTGGCCTAAGATGC